TGAAATGATAACTCACTATGGTTTTGACTTGCATTTTTCTGATGGCTAATGAAGCTGAACATTTTTTTATAAATTTCCTGAACAATTTGAATTTTTTCATCATCTAGATATATGTATCTATTCATATTTTTGACATTCTTAATTGAATTATTTGTTTTTGTTATTGAATTTAAGTTCCTTATATAATTTGGATATTAATCCTTTGTCAAGTGAGTAATTTGTAACATTTTTCTAATTCTATAAAAAATGTTAACTACCCTTCATCATCCCACATTGTATTCAGGTATTTATGATATCCCATAAATTTATAAAATTAAAATGGTTAAAAACCAATTTTATATACATAACTTATTGAAATGATCATAATGTTGAGATACCACATTGAAAATATATAATTAAAATAATTTCACCTTTACTATCCCCCCTTTTAATATAGTTACTAGAAATCTAGAATTATATACATAGTTTGCACTTGTGATATACATTATATTTGTATTAGACAACAATGGCCTAGGCTACAGACTATCTGGATGAATGTCATGCCCTAAAAATCCCCCAGAAAGGAGCAATAAAGGGAGAATTAAAAGGAGCCAGGGCAATAGGGGCTTGGTTTGAACTTTGGGAGTTGATGAAGGGGATTTCTGGGCTTGAGAGTTAGGGTAGAAGCTGGGGAAAACCATAAACCAAAGATGAGAAGACTGTGTTAAATGCTAAATTATGTATGGTGCTCATTGTATTATTGCCCTGTAGCTTTTGCTAGAGCTGGACACAAGTTAGCAAACTTGAGCACCAGCTAAGGCTAACATGGGAAGGTGTGTCTCCCATACCAGGAGGAGTGACCAATAAGAGAATCAAGGGGACCAAGAATTAGGAAGGTCAAGTATCAGCCACCCAACCCACCCAAAGAGCCCCATTGCATTGGAGCTCTGGGCTTAGGTGGTGTGTTTTGTTTGAAAATTTCTATTTTCATTGTGCAGTTCAAGTATGGCATCATTCCTTAAGTGATCCGCCTCACCTGAATTTGCCCCACACCCTGCACCTTGGATGTCACCACTGTCATCCCAGAGCCCAGCTTTGAATCCCCTTTCCCAGTGGGCTGAGGGTGGCAGCCTTCCCCAGTTCCTTCTCCTTCCCCCTTGTCTTATTCCACAGAAATAAATCCCTCATGCCTTGTGCTCAGGCTTGCTGAACGACTCAGTGATGGAAGCTCATGGCCTCCAAGGCTTTTCTCAGCTTTATGTTACTATAAAACACAATGTTTGCCTGTGGCCAGGATGGGAAGTATGATAAATGGGCAGAAGGTACTTTTGAGACTGATATTTTCATTATGATTTTGGTGGTGATTTATGAGGATATACATTTTTAAATGTCAATTATACCTTCATAAAGCTGTTTAAAATGTTAGCATGTTTTCTTCTCAATTTCCTCAATTAAGACATAAGACATCAGTGATCAAAATATTTGCCTACTACCCATACTTTCCTACCCCTACTATCTGTATCCTTGTTAAAAACAGAGTTTTCTTGGCCAAAGAACATCCCAGGGAAGGCCTCTACCATTTTCTTTACACACATAAAGCCACACAATCATGCATTACATGGTGATGTTTTGGTCAATGATAGACCACATATACGACACTGGTCTCATAAGATTATATCATCTATTGATGTGATAGCTTAGATTAGGTATTTAAATCTATGATATTTCTGCAATGATAAAGTTGTCAAATGATACATACTCCAGAAAATATTCTCTGCAAAGACAGTAAGACTGGTTCCATGCACCCTCTTCTCAGCCAAACTTTAGCTATGGACCACACCTGACAGTGTTGGAGTCTAACCTTGTAGGAATCTCCTGGCAAAGGCAGTTCATGAGAGAACACAGAGCTGTGAACTGCTGGCAGCCTGTCCTCACAGCAGCTGGAGAATGGGGTGTCTGCTCCAGCTTCCCAAACCCTAGCAACAGATTGCTTTTAGGTTTGAATTTACCTCCTCCATTTGCTAGCCACATGACCCTGTGTTTCAGTTTCCTCATCTAAAAGAGAACTAACAAGAGCAGCTACTTCACATACTTGGCAAAACTAAATAATGATTTAAAGCACTTCAAATAGCATCTCATATAAAAATCATTCGTGAGGTATAATTGAAAAATATGGTGAATATTTAAACTTTTAAAAATAAAAAGCAAAAGATACATTGCCATTAATCCCCCTCAAAATACTCTCCCTCACTTTGAACACACTTATCCTATCATTCTTGCCACTTTTTGAACCAGTTGTGGACGTCTTTTGTATATGTCTATAGTTGCATTGTTGTAGGTGCCTCAATGTGCTGAATCAATTCAAAATGTTTATCTTTTATGGTCATTTTGACTTTGGAGAAGAACCAGAAGTCACAAAGTACCAGATCTACTGAATAAAGTGGATCAGGACAGGCCATAATGCTTTTATGAGCCTGCCTTTCCGTTGAATGACACTTGGCATATTTTTGATCACACCTTGTAAATGCACTCCTGAAAGCAGACTTCCAGAACTACTTCAGAAAGTGGCAAGAATGACAAGTGTGTTTGAATGGGGGGGGGGGGGGCTAATTTTGAGGGAGGCTAATGGAAATGTGTTTTTTACTATCTTAAGTTTTCTAAGATTCAAACATTTACCATGTATTTCAATCACACCTCCTATGTAATCTGCTTAGAATCACACACAGCCCACAATAAATGCTCAATATTATAAACTTTATTTCTGTTACTGATTTGTGTCCTCAGAGATGACACCCCCAGGTATCTTACTGCTATCCAGGAGTGAAACCGGTGCCCCAACACTGAGCATAAGTGTAGTCTAAAGAGCCATATCTAGGAGATTGCCTACATAGATATACAGTACATACCTATTTATCTGACATTTTCTCCAAGTTCAAAATCAAAGGTAACATTTTGTGTGCTTCTCTTTAAAGAGTGGGGGAGGGATCTGTGTTAGCTTTCCATCACTGTGACAAATACCTGTAATAAATCAACTGGTAAAGGAGGGAAGGGTTACTGTGGCTGAGGAGTTCAGAAGTATCTGTGGTCACTTGGCCCCAAGATGGAACAGTGTGTCACAGTGGGAACTCAAGATGAAGGCAACCTGTTACTCCACAGGGAAGCAAAGAAACAGAAAGAGACCAGTCCCTACATCCCATTCTGGGGACACCCCAGTGACCCAACTTCCTTCCATTAGGCCCCACCTATTAAAGCTTCCCCCACCTCCCAACAGCTCAACAGACTGGGATCCAGGCCTTTACCAATGGGCCTCTAAGGACATCGGAGATCCAAAGGATAGCGGATACTAGCTCAATACTGGCTGCTGCTTAACCTCCGTGGAGACCCTCAGTAGGCTGATTCTTCATCCAGTTCGTGACAGGAAAAAACAAACAAGTAACAAAAGGAAAACCTGTCCCTCCTCACCCATCTAACACCACTGATGAATCTAGAGTTCTCCTCAGGCAACACTCTGTTCCCACGGTTACGCCCCACACTCTAGCAATGCTGGAAATCAGAGTCCCCGGGGACCTGGTCTCTGACTCCTGCAAATATGGAACACTTCAGACTTTTCCTCCGTTCTGTCACCTAGTTTTGGGGACCAAAGCGGAACTCCGACGAGCACATGGCTAGAGAAGGTGGACGAGGACACAAGGAAGGGAAGCAGCTACTTTGAACCAGCAACTCGCGGAGGGCGGGCTTCTGGCGAGGCAGGTTGGCCTGGGGTGCTAGGATCCTGCAGCCCGTCACCAGCCCACGGGGCGGGGCGGCGGTTACCTTTTTGCTCTCAGGACCAGTCCGCAGACCGGCGCCAGGATCCCGCCGACCGCCGCAGGCTTCCCGGTGCCGCTGGCACGCGGCACGCGGGGTCCCTGAGGCTCGGGGTCCAGGCCAGCGCCACCCGCACGCTTCTGACTTGCAGTCCCCGGGGACACTGCGGGCTCCCCGAGCTCCAGCTAGGGGTAGAGGCGGGGCCTGTGGAGGGCTCGCCCCTAGCCCCGCCTCTTTCTCTGAAATACCAGGTGGGCATCCAGTCCCCCAACACCAACCCCTCCACCCCTGATTCCCCAAAGTTGGTCCCCACGGGGCCCCTAGGGTGGGGTCAGAGGAGGGGAGAGTCAGCTGGAAACAACTTTTTAAAAAAATGAAACAGATAAGTTGTGGAGGTAGAACATAACATGTGCATTTGTTTGTAAAGTAATACATGACCAAAATAAATGTAGCGGGGCGAGAAAGACAATGAGGGAGGCACCTCCCTGGTGCCTCCGATGCACGTCTGAGAAGCGCTGTTAGGAACCTGGATTTTTCTGTCTCTAAACACGTTTCCTAGGCTTGACTTGCACCCTCAGGGTCTGGTGCGGAAAGCGCCCCTGGGTGGCTGTGAGAAGCAGGGTGCGGACCCCCACTCAGCTCCTCACAGAGAAAGCCCGAGACTTGCATCTAGGCCCGGGTGGTGAAAACAAGGCACCAGGGCCTTAAAAAGCCATAAGCAGAACCACCCTGTGCACACTAATGGCTCAAAGGGCCCCGGGAGTTCTTTTATTGAATTGTCTCCTAAGTGACTGATGCTAGGGTGGGACATCTTAGCATTAACCAAAGAGCCTCCTTGGCCTCTAAGTTTCCCGGGAAATGAAGTTAAATACCTTGTAGTCATTTATAGGTACTTACATGTCATCACTTAACGGCCACGTGATGAGCTAATCTTTAAATGCCCTCATTTTACTTTTATTAGAAAGGCCTCGGAATGTAATTATGCCAGGAAGATATGGAAATATGCTGTAACTGGTTTTAAAGGCAACTCATCTAAAGACAACAAAATCTATGAAAGCCACTTGATTGAGTGAATCAGTTGAATTTTTAAAAAGTCATGTGACAATATGCACATTTGGAAGAAGATGTAAATGTAGAAGGAGGTTGCCTATCTGTGTTTTCTTGGAGAGATGAGTAGCAAGTTTAAAGGTTTAGCAAGAATTATGCTATCTTTTGGAAGGTATTGTTATGTTAAACACCTTAGCAGAAAAAACGCAAGCTGCAGTTTAGATGGTAAACGGTGCATCTGATACATTGAATATTCTGCTTTTGAAGAATGTCCACTGTTTTATTTTCAGTAATGAATTAAAGAATTAGGTATTTAATTTACAGTTGCTGAAACAATGTATTGTATCAGGCAAGATTAATTTAATAAGCTTTTCACCTGTTTTTTATTCATTAAAATATAAATTTTCATTCTCTTGTCATAACAGTAGTATAAACTCTTTAAAATGTACAGTGTTGTGTATACAAATACATAGCTCTTAAAGTGCTTCATATTTTACCAACTTTCAACAAGAAATTAGATTATTAGAAAGTCTGAAAATTGTGGTTATGCAAATAATAGCTATTTTGCAAACATTCCAAGCTTTACAAATGTTTAATGGTAGCGATTTCTCTTGCAACACTGTGGCTTTTTTAGTTGGTTTCCATTTTTGAATTTCACAAGCCAATACATATATATATATACATATATATATGTGTATATATATATATATGTACATGTATATTATCGGCACCTTTTATACATTTTATTATCGGCACCTTTAATGTGAACTTTGTTTACCCAAAGCAATTGCAGAGAAATTCCATTGCATCTAAAAAATAAATGTTGGGCCGGGGATTTAGCTCAGTGGTGCTGCCACCTGCCTCGCAAGCTCAAGGTTCTGAGTTCGATCCCCGGTACCAAAAAAAATTAAAAAATAAAAAATAATTTTTTTTTTTTTGGTACCGGGGATCAAACTTGGGACCTTGCGCTTGCAAGGCAGGCACTGGAACCACTAAGCTAAATCCCCAGCCCAATAAAAAATAAATGTTAAGACTTCAGTGATGTACTTAAGATACAAGTGCTTTCCACAAAATTAATATTTTTATGGTTTTTATTATATTGAAAGAATATACTGAAATTATCAGCTACTTTTCAAGTAATAGTGTGTTCAATCACATTACAGTTATAATTTAGTATTTTAGAAGCAACTATCTGAGAACCAGTTTCCTCAAATGTAAAGCAAAACTTCAATTATCTAAATTTCTTTCCACCTCTATAATTTTATTATTTTAAATATTGTATATGCTATACAGTGTCCAGGACAACCAGCAGTAACTAACATCTTCTAAAGGTCATAAATATTAAAAGGAATCAGGGCCAGGGATTTAGCTCAGTGGTTCTGCTGCCTGAATAGCAACTATGAGGTACCAAGTTCAATACGTGGTACCAAAAAAAAAAAAAAGGAATCAATGAGCAAAGATATTGCACCAGGCAATATTTTCTTTATCATGCAGCCACACTCATTTAAAAATATTTATTTTGTAATTTCACTACTCCTTAAGTTTTGTAAAGTTTTAGTAATTATTGGTACCTGGAAAACCTCAAATCTGGCTATATAAATACACATTCTAAAATCTCAAATAGTTATTACCTTTTCATAAAGAAACTCATCTCAAACAGTAAATCTTTCAAAGCTGCTATTGCTTGAATAAATCAATTTAATTTTTTCCTTAAATCATACGATTTTAAACTGGAGAATGATACAGGAATGGGTTCAAAGAGGCCCAAATCTCTCAATATTTAAGATGTTCTGAATCTGATATGAATAATGATCATGAATGTAAGATTTATCCAATTCTAAACATATACTAATTTTTCTTTTTCAAAATCAGTTCTAATTAATTGGATCACACCCTTGGATACTGGAAAGACTTTTTTTCTCAGGCTGTTCCCTCTCATGGTGAACAGCACCAGCTGTCCACTTGTACAAGACAAACTAATGAGAATCTTTTTGACCTCTTTCCCACCCCAGCACCATTCAACTCCATTCTTTTGGCAACTACAAGAATGATCTGTGTAAAATGCAGAGTTGTACATATATTATTCCCTCACTAAAAACCTTTAATGGTTCCCCATCAGCCCAAGCATAGTCCTAGCTCCCTCATTACATTATAAAGGTTTTTTCTAGTCTGCCTCCTCCCATCCCCTCCACTTACTTCAGTCTTGCCTCTTTTTATCCTCCCCACTTCTGCACTTCCTGCCAACCCTCCTTCCCAATGGCACTCATTGTTAAATTACTCTGATTCCCCCCAGGGACAGGAATGTATCTTTGATCACTTAGCCTGAAACATTCTTCAATCCTTTCTCTAGCCAGCTCCTACTATTCCACTGGGTCTCTGATTAGATGATTTCCTGCAACTGGCTTCTCATATTCTCCTCCCACAGGTTCTTTAATCCTAACTTTAACCTTCCATGGGCCCTGGCACACAGTATTGTAATTATCAATTTCCCTTTATTTCTCCACTAGATTAAACAGCTGACCTGTGTCCAAAAGGAGGCTACAAGTGGAAAAAGCCTGACCTTTCAACTCAGAGAGACTTGGATTCCAAACTCAGTTCCTGCATTTACAGATACGTGCTTTTCAGCATGTTTCCTAACCTTTTTGTGTCTCAGTTTCCATCCTGTAAAGAAAGATCATAATAAAGACTAGTGAGAAAATGTAAAGCATCTTTCATATAGCTAGGTGTGATGATTAAGTTTAATTGTCAAGCTGACTGGCTTGGGAGCCACTTAGGGGATTAGTAAAGCATACTTGTGAGAGTGTTTGGGTAGGTCATGGAGGTATGACCTTGAGGTCTATACCTGGTTCCTGGCTCCTTGCTCTCTGGTGCCGTTCCCCTGCTCTCCTTCCTGGCTGCTAGGAACTACTAGCTTTGCTCTGCCACATTCTTCCACCATGGTATTTCTGCCTTGGAACCAGCTAGCCATGGACTGAACCTTCTGAAGCCATAAGCCAAACTAAACTTCCCCTCTTTAAATTGTGCTTGTCAGGTATTTTGTACCACCAACAGGACAGGGAACACTAGGCACTTAGTAGATGCTTGGGAAACAATAGTTACAAATGATAACAATTTTTCCCAAAACCTCCTCCCAGACTGGACTTTTCTTTAGAGAATGGACAGTTATTATACCAAATGGACATAGATGAAAAAGAAAACTGATTTTCCCAATCCAATAAAGATTCTTTTAGCTGTATGTAAACTTGGAAGGTTGTTTGATGGGTCTCTTTGTTGCCTCAATTTCTTTATCTGAACATGCTTCATGTAATTAATATAATCAAAAGATAGACATTAAAGTATTTTTGAATAAAGGTACCATTTTGAAATGATATATTCCTTTACTTATTGTTTGTTTAAAGAAATCCTATTTTAGACATTGAAATATATGAGACTAACTGGAAGCTAATAAACCATAAATAATTTGAAACAGCAAATCCTCACTTTTCATCAGGACCCTTTATGTTTGTCTTTCTGCATACTTTTTATTAGAAAAGATAAATTATGGAACAAGTTATTAGGAATTTCACCACACTTTCTACCCCCATCTACTATAGTAGTTATACGACTAAGCAAATGAACAGCTACTATAAAACAGACCCCAGTAATCAGGAAATAACTGTACCTTGTACCACAAAACCTTGGATGACTGAGATTGAGATTTTGTTTAGTATTCACATTCTAGACTCACAGACCATTAAGACTAGAAAATATGCAACATTCTGAGGAAAAAAGAGAGGATTAAACACATAAATACTTTACTACCTTCAAATTCCATAAAAACAACAGCAAAAAATTATTGTAAAACACACAAGATAAAAAGAATAGGAAAGGAAAATTGCAACAAAATGTTATAAGCTGTAAAACAGAAAATGAGAAGTAATTGACTTACA